AGAATTTCAGTGTTTTCAAACAGCATTTTATGCCCAGCATGGTTTATATTGTGTTCTGCTACTGCCGGTTTTTCTGGCTGACCCAGTCTGCAGTGTCTCTCATGTTCCTTGATTAGTGTTTGGACACTGCATTTGGTGGTCCCTATGTAGACTTGTCTGCAGCTGCATGGTAGTCAGTAAACTCTTGCAGCTGTGAGAGGGTCTTTCCTGTCCTTTGCTGAGCTCAGCATTTGTTGGATTTTCTTGGTTAGTTTGTAAACCATTTGGAGATTGTGGGGCTAAGCAGACGGGCAGCCATGGGCCGCCCTGGGAAGCTGCGCCGTGGGGCCGAGGTATCCCCACACCTCGGCCCTACAGCACAGCTTCCCCACCCCTGGAAGGAGTGCTAAAATAGCGCTCCTTCCACAAGTCACCGAAGGTGCACTGCAATAGACTGGCGGCACACCTTCGGCAACTCTTCCGCCGCAGCGTGTGCCGGCAGTGCAGAGGAGACGGCGCTCCGATGATGACTTTGAGAAGGGGTTGGGGTGCCCACCATGTGGCTGCCCCTCCCCTTCCTTGCCCCCAAGATGGCCCTTTTAGCTGTCTGCTTCCCCCCTGTGTTTCCTCACCACTTTCCCTATTCTGTCTGTGACTCCTTTGATGTATGGTAAAAATACCTTCCTTTTGGGTGGTTGCTTGTCTTCACTCCTTTGGGTTTTTCTGGGTCTGGCAACCCTCCTGATGTCTGAGCTGGAGTAACTATTTGCCTGTATAATCATCCTCCCTATCCAGGGTCTCACATATACATATACTCACTGTCTTCCATTCCAGTATTCTCTGAAGATGCCAGCCACAGATGCTGGTGAAACGTCAAAAAGAAACTCTTCTAGAACATGGCCACACAACCCAAAAAACACACAAAAAACTATGGATGCCAGCCGTGAAAGCCTTCAGCTTCACAAAGAAAACACCTTCCTCTAAATCACATCAAGGTAAACATTTCTTCCTTCCCCATATGCTCCCTCTTAGGACAATGCAAATCCTCTAAATCACATCAAGGTTAAAGTTTCTTCCTTCCCTGCATGCTCCCCCTTAGGATAAAGGAACACCTCTAAATCACATCAAGGTCCAAGTTTCTTCCTTCCCCGCATGCTCTCCCTTAGGGCAAAGGAAATCCTCTAAATCACATCAAGGTTCAAGGTTATTCCTTCCCTGCATGCTCCCCCTTAGGGCAAAGGAAATCCTTCCTTCCAGCAACACCAAAACTGCAATTGTATCTCTCCTTCCCACTCCCCCAACCTCAAAAAGAAACCTAGTGCAGCCACCATTTTTCTTACAGCTCAAAACCCCAGGCCAAAACTCCAAAGAGCCTCACTCATTCACATCACTTCCTTATTATCTCACCTCTCCTTCCATACACTGCTGCCTCACTCAATTGCACAGGTACATTGGGACAGCTATCCATTTGTGGTTGAGATTTTCATTCATTTGTTCATTTCTGGAAAAACAATGTAAATTTGAAATGTTTTAAATCAGGGAAACTCAAACTAAGACTTTCCTGTGCATCTCTGCCTTTCCAAACAAAAGTGTGCAATAGCTGTAATATATATGAACTACTAATAAAACAAAGCACTGAAGTAGGGGAGGATTTAAGGCAGGGAAGACTTGCCATCCCAAGCTAGAGACAAGTTCTTTTTGCCCCATCCTTGCCTTTCGTAGGAAATGCTTTGGATAAGAAGCAAGGGAACTGAAGGGATGATGTGGTGTTAAAAGGATGAATGGGATGGACTGTGGACAATAATTTAATTTCCTCATCTAACTAGCTCTACTTTCCCCCCCCCCTGCAATTTGGCAGGTTTAAATTATATCAGGGTTTATATCCCGAAAGTGAAACTTCACTTGTGGCACCTAGTACGAAGACACGGAAAAGCTCCATGATAACAGACAAGCTGGTGAGTGAATGCTGTGGAGTGCAATGTGGATTTGTATTGACATATTTCTGCAATATATTTGCACCAAATTTGAAACCAAAGTACCAAATTTGAAACCAAAGTACCAAATTTGAAGTTAAAGGCCTATTAATTTTGTCATGTTGCCTGCCCTGACTAATCTAAAAGTGAATATATCTGGGCAAACTCAAAGCAGAAAAAACGAGAATGCTGAATATGTGTCAGTACCAATCAGCTCTGTTCCAAGAACTCAGACAATAGTGAAAGAAAAAAAATACTTTATTGCAGGCCAAGGACAATAGTGATCAGCCAGCGTTTAGGTTGGTACTAACCTTCCCTGACCTCTTGTTGCTATATATAGATCGGAGCCACCTAGCCCTGCCTGTCTGCATACTATTTTGACTTCTGCTTGGTAACTGCAATGTAACCATTTGACTTCTGCCTGGTAACTGTACTACAACCTTTTGTTTTATGATTGGTAACTGTAATGTAGCCTTTTGCTTTCTGCCTGGTAACTGCTATGCAGCCTTTTGATTTCTGCCTGGCAAC